CGTCAGTGAGCGTCCGACACTATCTGTGTTTCGTGCGTTGATGGCGGCACTGAGGGCCCGAGGGCCGCTCGCTCTTTTCCTGACTGCATTTGCTTTTGGGAAATTCTACTGATAAGCAATTTTCACTCTTTATGTGCATAGGTGTCTGTGGATTGCTCCCACGATTATCATGCTATTGCATTTTCGGCGCATTCTTTTATCTTGATCTTCGTTTTGTATCTTGTACAGATGACGCTGAAAAGCCATACTGCATGGATAGTTTGAGATTCAACACAATGCGGGGTCCGCCCGTCGTAACGTCGTGAAAGGGATCACAAGGATATTATATATGTTGTTCACCGACGACCGCTTCACGTCGTGGGGAGATAGTGCTCCGCAGTGCTATGTGCACACAGCCACACCCACCGTGCCAGAAATAAGTAGGCTTAATTAACCGTAAATATGCTCCTGAACACGCCATGGTTTGATTACGTCATTGCACCTTGCACAACATCAAATGAAAGCCAATTGACAACCTTTTTGCCTGGAGATCGTGCTCACAAACACAGATATGAACGCCTCGACAATTATATTTTGCTTGGCCTTGAATGACGCATAGCCAATGGAATGACGGTATATATTTGAATGAGGTTATTATACGACCAAGAACAGTCGCAAGCGAAAGTGAAGGGCCCACGAGTAGAACAAGTCTTTCGACGGATTGACAGGCCGGTGATTGAGACTTATTTCGGCTCATTACGCCGTCCAGAGGTCCTTTGCTGTTCCTGGAGGACGTATATGCCCACTTGCATAGTGAATCCGGTCGTCAAAAAGCCTTCCACGTGACACTTGATTTTCTTTTTACATTTGCTCGGACGGCCCTGCGCTGTTGCTGGGCCCTTCCTGTTAGCGTGCCGGGGCGCTCTTGTCAATCAGGGGCGCTCCGCATACTCTTCCCATTCGCCGGAAGGGCTCTGCACACTGTAGGCGGGGCCCCATAAGTTAATCTGGCCGGGTTTCGTCGTTTGCTGAGGGGCAATTCACGTTGGTCTCGATTAACCTACCAACATGCTCGCGATATGCTCATGGACCCTCTGCATTGATTTAGACCCCTTCCAATTCTCTGTCACTTGCTTAAAGCCCTACGCTCATGTCGGGGCCCATCTATTGACCTACTCGGACATAATGGATTGTTTGGGGCCCCGCACATTGGGTAGTTGAATGTCGGTCCTATGCTCCTGTCATGTATCATCTGATAAGTAGGCACGTCTGATTTGACTGGGGGGGGGGGGGGAGGGGGCCTAAGCTTTTGCCTATCTGTGAACCTGCCCAAACCTGTTAATCTGTTAATTGTTCGGGGCCCTGCACATTGGGTCTTGGTGTTTCAACTTAGGGTCCTACGCTCCTATCAGGGGCTATCTTATAACCTGCTCGGATACACTCCATCTTTCGGGGCCCTCCACACTGGGTTTTGGATACTTCTTATTTCAATAAAGGGCCTTACGCTCTTGTCGGGTCCCTTCTGATAAGTTTCTCGGGCACATTCGATCGTTCGTGGGCCATTTGCATTGGGTCTTGGGTACTTTCGATTTGAAAGGAGGGCCATACGATATTGTCAGAGACCCTATCTGTCAACCTGCTTGCGTGCACTCGATCGTTCTGGGCGACTCCACATTGTGTCATGGGCATTTCTCATTCAAATGGATGGCTCTTCTCGGGGCCCCAACTGTTAACGTGATCGAGCATACTCGATCATTCCCGGGCCCTCATATTATGTCTTGGGCAGTTCTTATTTAAATGGATGGCTTTGCGCTCTTGGCGGGGCCCCATCTACTAAGCTCGCGCCGTTGGCGGATGCAGAGGGGGTGGAGGGCAAGAGACTATGCCCCCTTTGTGGCCCGAGGGGACCCATGTGCTTCGAAGGGGCCCATAACTGGCCGAATGAAAGCAGCTTTCTAACACCAAACATGACAGAACTGAACGTTTTTGGGCCTGCAGATGACCAAGACCAGTTGCAAGCAAAAGTGAAGAGTCCATAAACAGACAAAGCTGACTCCTCACTGCTTGAAAAAGGTGCTGAATGGGAAGATTTTCGGGCTCATTGCGCTCTCCAGAGGCCTTGCGCTGTTGCTCGAGCCCTATATGTCAACATGCGGGTCACCTGATGCCCAATGAACCTTCTGCGTAGCCCTGTTCTCTTTGCGTCTTGTCATAGGGTCCTACGGTGGTGGTTCGGACTACTATCTGCGAACATGCCGGGCACTCTTGATCGATCAGGGTGCCTGTCAGTGGCTAGCCGTGAATATACCAGATTGATTTCGTCCTGATATTGTTGTATGGTATTTTAGCACCCAACTTCCTTAGTTAGCCTGTTTTTCCGAAATGATTGGCCTTTAAAAAGACAGGGCTAACCATGATCTGGAAAAATGCATACGCTCCATGCATACGTAGTACGCCACATTGTAGAGGTGCGCACAGACTTGGAGGGGGTGTCCCGTATTTACTGATTTATAATAAATAAACATATATGCACATATATATATATATATATATATATGTGATATATATAATATATATAATATATATGTGTATATATATATATATATATATATATATATATATATATATGTGGTGGGTGTGTGTGTGTGTGGTGTGTTGTGTGGGTGTGTGTGTGTGTGTGTGTGTGTGTGGTGTGTGTGTGTGTGTGTGTGTGGGTGTGTGTGTGGGTGTGTGTGTGTGTGTGTGTGTGTGATGTGTGTGTGTGGTGTGTGGGTGTGTGTTGTGTGTGTGGTGTGGTGGGTGTGTGGTGTGTGTGTGTGTGTGTGTGGTGTGTTGTGTGGTGGTGGTGTGTGTGTGGGTGTGTGGTGTGGTGTGTGGTGTGTGTGTGTGTGTGTGTGTGTGTGTGGTGTGTGTGTGTGTGTGTGTGTGTGTGTGTGTGTGTGTGTGTGGGTGTTGTGTGTGTGTGTGGTGGGTGTGTGGGTGTGTGTTGTGGTGTGTGTGTGTGTGGGTGTGTGTGTGGTGTGTGGGTGGGTGTGTGTGTGGTGTGTGTGTGTGTGTGTGTGTGTGTATGAGTGGCGTGCATATATACCTCGCTTTTTCCAACGTACGAGTGCTCTGCAATATTTGGAATACATTAGGTCGTCAAAATGTTTGCGTAATAAATGCTAGGCAAGCTTCGAATACCCTCTTCTGACAAAAGTATAAGGGAATATGACGCTTTAGCCCCGCAGATTCAACAAAACCTTATACGATGACTATCATTTCTCCTTGGTCTTTTATATGCCGCTTAACAAAGTGACTCTTTTCGAGGTACACTTGGCTTTGGGAATGGGAGCATCATATGGTCAATAGCGACGCACTGGTTCAAACTTCCACCAATGCGCTTCCGGTAACAGGTCCTTACCGCCCGCTGGGTCAACCACAAACGTTCTTTTATTCGCACTAGCAGTTGCTACGGCGGTTGTCATGACGACGGTGGTCGCGACCGCAGGGAGGAAGCGCAGTAATGCTACAAAGCAATGACAGCGAAATTTGGACTAAAAAAATAATTAAAATTGATGTTCTTGCTATGTCTTAACGGCGCTGCAGTGGCACCACCCAAAGCTATTACTACATGTAACTGGTCCTGTGGTTTCATTAGAGCATGTTTTTGAAACATGCACCAAAAGTGGGACACTCTCTTTGCAGGGAATATCCCACATTTTTTACATATCTTACATGTCCACATATCCCGCACTTTTAACTTATTGTTACATTGGGCGCGTAGAAGTTGACCAATAATACCAGTTCTCTCGAAATCCTTCTCAGTAGCTCATAATTTCGATTAGCCGAAACTTAGCTGAAAAGCCTTGCCTACTTGCGGGAGAACCATCATTTGACTACATGCTCACGAAGATGAAAGAAACGCATTTACTTGTCTTGCTTTTCCAACGTGTGTTCCGAATGTTTGCAACACACTAATGTGCTAGAATGTTTGTGCAATGAATGCAACAAAAGCTTGGGACGCTCGCTTCGCCACAAATATATGCGAGCTTGAAGCTACTATCCCGCGAATCAACGCAACGTTATACTGTGGGTTCGATTTCTCCCCTATGGCGTTTACAACAGTGCCTCTTTTCGGGGCGCAATTCGGCTTTCCGAATGGGAGTATCACATAATTCCTGTGACGCGGGGTTATTCGAACTTCAACCAATGCTCTTCTCGGTAACAGACGCTTACCCACTAAGCCAATCGCACACGTTCTTTCATTCGCATCAGTAGAGTGTGCCGGTGACGACTCGTCCACATCTGACGCCCGTGAGCATGATTTCCAACGTATAACGACCGTCAATTGTCCCTCAGTGTTGTGCGAGGTGTGATGACGTAATCAAACAATGACGCAATGAGGAGCACATCTATTAAAAAGAGAAATTGTATCGCCTACAGTGGCCTTTCCACTGAAAAGTGTACTTATACTGTAGGTGAGCTATTTCGTCACATCTCTTGTTTCCTTCGATGTTTTCAAGTATGGAACATTTCCTTCACTCCTTTTCCCCTTCCGTAGCCATATTCCTGCCCCTTATACGTGTAGGGCTAGTTTAATGCAAACACACAATGTCCATCTTTAGCCATGCACACTGTGGGCATGGCTGTTTCCGACGTAGCTGGTGTAAGATACATGTGCTTGAAACTCTTCCAAAACAATAACATTTGTACGCCAGAAAGATCTGTCAGCAACCGATTCCCAACTTGTGTTTCCGAAAAAACGCCAGCTGGTCGAGGGTAAAGGTGAAGTCAGCTGGCGGAAGAAACTGCGAGCTATCTCAATTTAAAAACGATTTATTTCACTGATCATCTTAATTTGCGTGTGTACGTTTGTTTACTCGATAATTTTATTCTAGAATACTCCTTGAGTCTATTTTATGGTAGTTGTTCTCAAAAAAGTTACTAACAAGCACCAGCTGACCAAGGTTATCCAATAACATCTGTGTTATCCTCTGCTCTTCCCTGCCCTCTGTTTTCATTTACCCACTTAGGTCTCAGGAATCACCGATGTCATGAACACACGCGCGACGGGGACGCGAGGCATTTGAATTCCGTTTAGCTGAGCTGCGCGGGTCTCCGTATGAGATCGTCCGGTGTTCGTGAGATTTAAAGCCAAACTCCGCAAGGTGTGTAAGGCATGTGTTTTTGATTTACAGCTCGCTAATCACGGTTTAATTGCGACCGAAAGCTTTCCGCTTGGCATGGGTCAAAAGTATTCAGAATACTTGCAACTCCTGCAATTGCTCCACATTTAGGTGCTAATGTATCTGAAACATGAGTAACATGGACTTGCATATTTCGCGTTGGTTCCTGTTGTTTGTCAGAGGTGAACATCAACAACCTCTCCAAGAGAACAAGCAGACCTGGTGGCCTGCTACTGCCCTAATCCAAGTATTTTAATTTTGCCCACTTTCAGAAGTTCTCTTACTTTGGTATGACATGAGAAATATAATTGAAGCAAAGCTCCTGGCCTGGTGGGGTTTCAGTCTTTCTAATTGGGGACTTATTTTGGGCTAGCAGGGCTTCCCACACCTTTCTTGGGCATCCTGTGCACCTGTGGAACATCCCTTAGGTAATGTTGGACCTCCAATCAAGCATAAGAGCTTGATGTTGGGTGTTTAGCACCTTTCATCAAGCATTAGGGCCTGAGGCTGGCTATGTATGGCCCCCAAGGACCCATGGTGCTGATATTGTGTATGTGCCTTAATACATGTGCCTATATGTGCCTTACGAGAGTTAGTATAGATTTTTAACCAGGTTCAGTGGCCATGATGAAAACCATTTTGATTTGGCACCCAGTATCTGTATTGTAATAAGCTATGACTGGTCATCACAACTTAAGTCAGTATAATATGCTATTGGAATCATTGCAATCCAGCTTGGTTTGGGCACAGACTGGTGTACCCTCAAAGCATAATCATTACTACACTTAGGCTCCAATAATTATCATGTTCCCATGGCTCTCAGGTACCCTTAGAATGAGACATGGTGTATGCCTGGAATGAGGATTGTAAAGGACGTACAAAGGAGATCAGATGGTCTATAGGTGTGTGTCTGTTGATACACAATTTGACATAACTCTCAGATCATACTATGCTTTTGAACTATAAGGCATACTTAGTGTTCAATTGAATTAAAATGCCCTCATTTCAATGGTTTATACATGCACGTTATTACCAAAGGTAATTTGATTGTTTGTGACATGGAGCATGTTGCTGGCACCAGACCCTCTGGTTTCATCAGGAGGCATACTCAGAAGGATTCAAATACATCTGCAGAGCCCACACCTTAAGCAGCACTTGTTGCTTTAGCCCTGCCCCTACCATCTGATTGCACCCCTTACCGGTCAATGGCAGAATTTGGTGGCGAAGTTTGCTATGCTGCAATGCGTCTGTCCTGCCCTCTAACACTCATCTGACCTTTATTGTGGCCGCTGCCACCGGGCCTGCAGGCCATGCCGTCAGGGGCAAATAGCAAGCCTGACAAAGTCAAGCCCATCCCATCACAGGGTTGGTTGGGAGCGGCTCTAACCAACTGACTGATCATCAGAATGGACAAACCATCATGTTTTATAATTGTTGTGTAAGGAAGGTGCTGGCATAGCCAATGAAATAATTTGTACATATATTTTAAACCACTTGTTCCTCAACATGTCTCTGAATTGGTACTTCTGGTTTGGTCCTTTGGTAGCCTTAGCTTCCTCAGGCGTTGGTTTATTCATTTATAATTGTTGAATCATATTGACTCTGTGAAGAATAACGTGTGGAATTGAAGGGTTTCAGGAGTTTCCCTGGTATGTGGTCAGTGCAGAGTTTGAACATCTGAAATAGGTTCAACTATTAGTTTGTTTTGTCTTATATTTGATTATTTGCAGTTCTGCCATTACTGCAGGTATGTCTCTGCTTCCATGACATGCTGCCTGAGAGGAATCAACCTATCTGAACAAAAATCTCTCCACACCCTTGACTCTTTTGGTGGTGACACTCCTCATCAGGCATTGCAGGTCTGTCAGATCAAGCCCTTTCTTGAAAATAAAAATGCATTAAGGTAGTTAGTGCTCTGGCAATACTCTGTGTGATGTATCTTGAACAGTAGGTAGGGTAAACATCTTGGTTGTCAATCCTTGAAGGGCTCATTTTGATTATTTCCCAGTCAGTACAGACCTTTTGTAAATGTTGAGGACAGGACAGGACACAGGACAGGAATACAAAGGACATTGGTGAACTACATGCCCTTTCTTGTTAGGGAGGGCATGTGCCCTCTGTGCCCCATGACATTTTGCTCATAGCCATCATATTTTGCAGGGATGGGTCGCAAACGCAGCAGCCTGCGGTATCGTCCCTACAGTCGGAGGGCCTCCCTTCATTTGGCCGATCCGGAAATCATCGACGACGACGAGGCCGATGACTCTATACTGGTGGTCTTCGAGAAGGTGTGCTGCAAGGGGTCATCTCGGCCGCCTTTCTCCGCGCTGAAGGACGATGGGCGAACAAGCGCCACGGTGGTGAAGTCGGCTTTGGCGCTGGGCACTACGCGGGTAGGAACAGGCGCCACGGTGGGAGAGTCGGCTTCGGCTGTGGGCACTACGCGGGTAGGAACTTCAGTAAGTTCGAATGCTGGTCTGCCAACCGAGAAGGCCGCGACGACTTCTAAGTCGAGTGAGGTGGTGAAGGAGACCTCTGGCATCGAAAAATCGGACGAAACCATCACGCCTGCCTCTGATGTTGGTCCAAGTGAGGCGACCACAACGGTGCGGCCGGGCACGAGCGCTTCCCCCTCGAAGGGAGCTCGTGCCGGCGACGACAGCGTGTTCTCGGTCACCGCGTTGCCATCGCCATCCTCCAACTCCTTCTGGAGCAACACCCGCAGGGGTCCGACCACTTCGACGCCGGCGCCGCGCCGCCGCCACGACAGTGACGTCGTGGAGGTAACACCGCACGTGGTGACACTGGAGGACGGTGAGCTGGCTGACACGCCGCACGTGGTCACGCTGGAGGACGCGCCGACCGAGCTGGAGGTGACAGAGGTGCGGCGCGTGTACGCGCTCAGCACGCCGGCCGTGCGGCGCCGCGCCGCCGGCTTCTTCGAGGACATGACGCCGGCCGTGGCCAAGCCGGCGCCGGCGACGGCCGCCGACCTGAGCGCCGACTTCCTGCCGCTGGCGACGGCTCGCCCGACCTGCCAGGCAGCTGGCTCGCAGCCGCCGCCGAAGCCGACCTCGGCCGAGCGGCCCGCCCGCGGCCGCCCGCTGCGCCGCACCAGCTCCACCCAGCGGCGCCTGCAGGGTGTGCTGCGCGCGGCGCGGCGCACCCTGGCGCCACCGCTCAGCGCGCGTGCCCGGGAGAAGCGGCGCTCTCGACTGTCGTCGGCTGGCGTCACGCCCCGGCGGCGCGGGCGCTCGCCCAAACGGCCTCATCGCTCCCGCTGGTAAGCTGTCTCCGAGAAGCTGTCTGTTCTCAGGGTTTGCCTGTGTCATCTCGGGTGTTGGAAACGTTATACTTTCTGCTTGTTGGCTTCATCAGCGTTAATGTTCTTGTGTAGGGAACAGAGGTGGCGTCTATGTTCATGTGTTATTGCGCAAGGAGCAACATTACATATCAGAGGAGAACGTAGCTTGGACAAGTCAGTCGTTGCCCGGGACTTTGGCTAGTCATATATTTTCAAGTTTAAAAGGGATCGGAATCCCAAGAAGTCGTTACTGTTCGTAAGTAAGCCCGCAGGTCACGCGGAATTTTCGAACTGCAAGCGAGCGTCGCTTGTCGCTGCGTTGCATGCGGTTGTCCCTGGGGATCTACAGGCCCAAACTCGCGCGCTGTCTGACGCGATGACTTAAACGTGTCTGGGTCTCGCCAGCTCAAGTCTGCTTGGAATAATGGGTGCGCTCGTTTTCTCAATTCCCGTGCTGCTTTAAAACAGCTGTTTTACGGCCCAAAATCGTGATCAGTCTTACATCAGGGCTCATTCAGAGAACAGGCGACTATGCTTCAGATGAATGGTTCCCATCTTGGTCGCAGAGGCCGGACAGGCATCGTTGCGATGTGACTTAGCATTGGTGCGAAACTGGCGGGGGCCGGACTGAACACTTCACATGTACCGCGCATGCCATGCCTGTTCCCTTCTGAGACCTCACGCCGCGCTCCCCGGCTCTGCGCACGGTCGTCTCGTCACGCTCGCGTCCATGCCGTTTGCGCAGGGACCGGCACGCTTCTGCGAGACCGCGTGCCCCGTCGGCCGAGCGACGGGGCGCGCCGGGCGCCCCCGCCGCCGACATCCAGTTCAACGCCGACTTCCGACGGACGTTCGCGCAGATGCTGGGCGAGCGGGCCAAGCGGCCGGTCATCATCGATGGGCCGAACGTGGCGTACGCGTGAGTGGGTCCGGTCAGCGACGGCACTGGGTGAGCCGCGGCGGGCTGACAGGTGCGTGGGCGGGAGGAGGGCGTGCGGCGCACGCGTGAGTGGGCCCGGGCCAGTGGCGGGCTGACAGGTACGTCGGCGGGAGGAGGACGTGCGGCGCACGCGTGAGTGGGCCCGGGCCAGCGGCGGGCTGACAGGTACGTCGGCAGGAGGAGGGAGTGTGGCGTGCACGTAAGTGGGACCCAGACCAGCGGTGGCGGCGTGGGACCCAGACCAGCGCTCCCGCCGTCTGCCGTGTGTGGAGCGCGCAGCTGAGTGTGGGACGTGACTGACCCGGCCGGCCTTGCAGGCACGGTCGGAACCAGACGTGCTCAGTGAAGGGCCTTACCATCGCCTTGGACTACTTCAAGAGCCGGGGCCACCGCTGTGTGGTCTTCATGCCCAGCAACTTTCACCGTCGCATTCCCAGCTTGGCTGATCGACAGGTTAGGGCCCCCGGCACTGTTGGGCTGCTAGAGAGGCTGAAGGTGTAGGCTGGGTGGAGGCGTTGTCACGAAATCACGCCGTCCTTTGGGATCACGGGCATTTCAAAGTGGAATGTTAAAGAGCCTCTTTTGATTTCAACCACTTAGACAGCAGTCGAAAAATCAAACTGGAACAGGTTGAAGGAAGTTGAGGTTCTTTGTTTTGATGTCTATAAGACCAGGATTTGTGCAGGTTTTTATTTCCCGCCTTGACAGTTGTGTCAAATGAAGTCTCGCGCTCCATTCTGGCACTTTTCTTCCACCAGTTCGACGAATAAGTTGTTAGCATCTGAAATAAAAAGGGTTATAAATTACTGTTCACATATGCCAACATCATCATCAGATACCACCACTTGATGCAAGTACCGGACGTCCTCAGTGCTGTTTTTCCCACGAGGAAACGTAAAAGAGTGGAACCCATGGCTGCTTACTTAATTTGCGGTCTTCTAACATCATGACAGTTTTCCAATGATTTCTTAAAGTTGGTAAAATGTTTACTCTAAACGCACCCTTCTTTTCTGTCTCCCATTACGCTTTGTGAGTGGAACGTGAAGGTTAAGGACGAAGAAGCTCATGCTTTCCGTGTCAATATCATGATTTGCATGTACACTTGATTTAGCTTTAGCCAATAGCCATGCCAATGCCACTGAAAAGCTCCATGGCACGGCAGCAGTTCGAACGGATTTAGGGTACGGCAAAATAATTTATGAGTCAGTTGCGTGAAAAGCTGTTTCATGTTCTCCTGACTCGTTTGATGTCTTCTTTACTTTGTGCTTTACGTTCGAAGAGCTCCGAAAAGCTTGACTAGCATTGGCCTTAAGAAGACGCCATAGTGCTCCATATGGGGTGGCAATGGCCAGTTACCATTGGTAGTTATACTTAATATGTATATATATGTATATATATATATATATATATATATATCATGTCAGTTATGGTTTCCCTCCTCTCGATCTCATGTCAAACGTGGGTGTTTTCATACCATTATGAAGCAATATGTTTGCGAGCAATTAAATCTTCTTTCGGCTGTTCGATGGCAATCTTCAGTGTGTGTCTTTAGTGCCATTCCGTGCTCCGAATTACCAGCATCGCAGCTATTTTTGTCACTACGTATCGCGTAAGATCGGACGTCGCGATGATCCGTGCCAACAGCGATAGGACTTGATATCAGACACCTGAACAGTTTCGTGTGGCTTGCCCCGCCCGGTTCGGGTCATTGTAAGTTTGGATATTTAGATGTGAGTTGTCTTTGACAGCATGATACCCGCGGGAATTGGAGCTAACATTGACTCCACTAGCGTCGGGAAATTTTGAGGTTAGATTGAAGAAACATTCGCCATTTTAACGGCTTGATTACCGACTGCTTCACACCACGGTGTTCATTCTGCATCACGCCATGTTGTAAGATCGCCACACCAATTGCGGTCCACTTGTAGCCGGCATTTCAGTGCAGTATCTTAGGCGAGCGGTGATTTACAGAGAATATCAAAGATGGGGTAATGTGTACTGTCATCATTTCATGGCATTTAAAGGAAATGGATCCATTGGTCTGCGCATACATTTTCTGTGGTGTGACACCATTTGGTGCACATTGGTTTTGAATGGCCGAGTCATTTTCATTCCCACCGCTGGAGAGAGGAGAGGGGGGGGGGTG